GTCCAGTATTTGTCCTGCACAGGTCAGCAGAAACACGACTGTTAGGATGAACAGCGGCGAGGCAGCAAGAAGGGTTACAGACCAGGAGAAACTAGGGCCCAAAAATCATTTTCTTTATTCAGCAGGCCACAGTGCCCAATATTTACAGTGAACACTAATATAATAATATAATTAAAGAAAAGAAAAACTTTTCAAAAACAAAACAAAACCTATATGCACCCATTAGGCAAAGTTACGGGGAAAACCAAAATTGGCTACACCACATATATTTGGCCCAACAGCCCACAACATGTATGCTCACTCTCTCGCAGCCTGCCATGCCATGCCATTCTTCCGGCTCTCATTCAGGCCCTAGAAATAGGCCTCCGACTATACCATCAACAGCTTCAATCAATTAAGCATTACAAGCATCAAAAATATAAATGTATGCATTACCTTAAAACCCTTCACATACCAACACACATTACCACCACCCCTGATAACAAAAGACCCACAGAATTATACAATTAAATACATTTCCACAGTCCCTTATCTCCTCCCCCTGTGGCTAAATTATGCAATTGGTAGCTGCCCAGAGCAAACCATGTGAAATAGGGGCGCAACTCCACTTCTTCCTGTTTGCCAGTGTAAACACTGAACCCCCCCCTCCAGGTTAGTACCCTCTCTGACTAAACATTGTTTAAAAAGTTTCCAAAATCACAATCACCTCTTTTACTTTACCCTATGCGCAAGTAACCAGTTACCCATAGACTTCCCAACACTTCAACACCGAGTAGCACACAAAGAAACACATGCCAAACCAAATTTCAAACACACAAAAAGGACAAACATGGCCTATGGTTTCCTACCTCCGTTCCACAGACAAATTATTATTTTGCTGGCACTTATATGAAACAGTGGATGAACATCCCAACAGTCCATGCATATCCGTTATGTTACGGGTGCTCATAATGTGGATTATGTTCTCCGGCACGGCGTCACGCCGTGACAACGACCATGATCTTACGTACGCCTTCTCTTGGTACGCCTTTCTGTAGGAATACCTCAGGTTTAGCTCTTTGGAGAACATGCTGTTTTGGATGTTACATTAATTCAGTCTGTGTGGCAGTTCATCCTGTAGTGACAGTAATGCCAGCGGCGCCCCTTGTGGTCGGCAGTGGGAGCGGCATCTTAGTGACCTGCACTGCCGCCAATGGCCGGCCAGCAGCAGAGGTGTCATGGCGCATAGACCAGCTGGATGGCCCGGTTGAGATTGTGAAGAACACGACACAGAACCCCAACGGCACCACGACTGTCAGGAGCTACCTGCTGGTGACCCCCACCAGGTCCATGCATGGCAGAGAGGTGCAGTGTGTGGTGAACCATACAGCCCTGCAGCACGAGGACATTGTGCCGTACAGGATCTCGCTGCACTGTGAGTACTGCTGGGATGCCAAGTCCTCTGTTTACGGTAGAAACAGAGAAGTTCTTCAGACATAGGTGATCATTTTTATAATAAATTTACCCAGAGGGGCTCTTTGTTCCATCCCGAAATGTACTTCTGATCCAGTGGACCAATATTTCCTCCAGATGCCCCGCAGTCTGTGAATATCACCCTAAAGACATCATCATCTGAAGATCCAACCTTCCAGTGTGATGTAGATGCCAATCCTTCACCTACAAGATACACCTGGAGCAGGTAGCAGGGTATCTTATATGCCAGACAAATGTTTCTAGGACTGATGTCTAGTGATCTCTGTGTACAGTGTTTCTGCAAGGTATTTGTAACAAGCTTGTATTATGTTGTGTAACATTGCATATATTTTGCTTGCTTTTTACCAGTCAGTAAGTCAGCGTTGAGATGGTTTGATAGATTTTACTACAGTATACTCAGGCACTTCTGAGAAAGAATTGTTGACATGAAATCTGTCAGGAAATTTAACTCCAAGAAGTCTTCTTGAGCTGGGGTGGTAGTCATTTCTGAAAAATCAATAAATCGAGGGAAAAGTATTGTTATTAAAATTATTACATTCTAGTATTTAAAACTGCACATCCACTCTGTATTGCACAATTCAGTATTTAACTCATTTTGTCAGTTTCCATCTGGGCCAAAGCAAAACATTGAACTGAAACAAAGACAGACCAGAGTTTTAAGAAAGTACCTTAAAGCTACACAAAAAACCTAGCTTATGTGTGGTGAGTTCAGAGGTTTGGTTTCTTTGGTTTCTTAAGAAATCAAATTATGTGGGGGCGGCAGTGAGGGGACTTGGGGGAGGGAGGGTGCGGGGGCTGG